TAATTCTAAAAAGTGAAATTCACAATATGAACTTGATTACACAGTAAAATAGAACTTTTCCAAAACCATCTAGTGATAAGTAACTACTTATTACTAATCTTTAGGGTATGTTAGCATGATTAATATTAGTCATTAGAAAGACAAAGATTACAACGCCAAGGTATTTCAATAATACGTTGATAATTATGCACACGTACAATACAAATTCTCATAAAATAATAATCCCTGAGCAAGTCTTTTCATAAATTAAGACAGAAGTATATACCAAAAATAAGATTCAGGATACTTACATGCACATAGAAACGTTCATATGATCGTTATAATTATATAAGAACAACAATGTAATTTGACATATGCAACCTAAATTACACTTCAATTAAATAGAAAAAAAAATCCACTTTTAAATCTTTAACCCCCAAATTATTGATCGAAGGCATAAATTCTTACCAAACTAATAATCTGTAAAGCACCATAGTATTTTAATTACTTCAAAAGCGAAGTTCATGCAGCATAAACTTAAGAAAAAATGGTCAATTTAAAGCAAGTAATTTCGGTGTTGAATTCGAGGAAAATATTTAGATAGTCGTTTTTACAAAAATCAACGTTTATATTTTTTAAAATGTTAATTGATGTTGAGTATATAACAACACGTTTGTTTAAACTCTCTTGGAAAAACAACCATCTTACTGTGATATTTTAGTAAGTCCCAGCAAAAATAGAAAACTAGGAATTACATCCTATACAACCTTGTTACAACGACCTCCATTGATCAATCCAATACTCATATATGTGTTTTTTTGGAGCTAAGTTATTCGAGGGATATTTATTCACTTGTCTATAAGCACCCATACCCCTATATGGACCAACAAAAATTACCCAAAATTAGGTGTAAATTTGTCATCAATAACAAACCTAATCCATTGAAGTGCATACTTATATTTTTGCGTTGATAAAGCACTAGCTATATCTAGACAAGAGTGTGTGATGAGAGTTCATACAATTGTAGTCATCACCATGGCCCTAATTTCTCATTCTTCTTTACCGTTTGTCTATTCATTAAAATACGCAAGTTTTATCCTTCTTACCTTGACTTATTTGCCTTTGTATAGACAGGCAATCACAATGTAATTTAATCTTCCTATCTACAGAAAGTGCGGGCTTGACACAAATAAAGGACTAAAATCGATTTTTAGCAACAGAGAATCCCTCTGTCCGAAGTGAAATTACTGACGAACTTAAAAATATCTCAACTCGCGTGAAGAACATACATTTAGAACAACTGACGCGAATAAGTTACACTTGGTTCAGATCACTTAAGAGATACTATTCACGACTTAATTATATACCCATCTTGTGATGAGTATTTGCGGAATTATATTCTGCTACGTAACTGATGAATTGCTGTATAATGTAGTAAACACAAGCTTTTAACCTCGATAGTTTGGAATATCAACTATATTTATCAAAACTACAAAATAAGTATCGTTACGGTCAATTGAATGACGATAAACAAGTAGATATATTTAGCGATAACCATTAGGAATAATGTTATAGTTGATATCAAGAAGTCAATGAGAAATGTATTTTAAGTCGAGCTTTTATGATGATTGCATGAAGATGCTATGAGTTAACTGACTTTTACAATCGGCTTCTGTGAAGATTAAAATGCATGAATGAATACGGAGTCCAGGTGTTGAGACTGATACAACATTCCTTGGTGAATTTTTTACGCTGCTCTAACTAAAGCCTATATATCATCATGTTGTCATGAATGGATAATAAACATCAAATGCAATAATGATTAGAACATTTCTATTTTGCACGAGATCAACAAAAAATGATGAAACGGACTTGATTGCACAGTAAAATGGAACTTTCCGAAAACATCCCTGAACCACTTGGTGACAAATTACTTGTTACTTATCTTTAGACTATACTAGCGTGATTAATATTAGTTACTAGGAAGCATCAGATAAGCATACATCAATTAGTTCATCAAATGATAAAGAACCTGAGTTACACTTAAAGATGTTTTCTGTTTGGCAATTTATACAAGTCAAACCAATATTTATAAGACAGTACATATCGACAAAAGAAACACATTAATTCCGTACACACCACACATAAATCACAAATATTAATTACTGTTCATTAGAAAAACAACAAGGAAAGTGTACACCAGGCGATTTGAGAACAATGCATTATCAACTGGATTGTTTACATCTGCATGTCGGCGCAGTTTTAAACAAAGAACGATCAATACGGTGAATGTTTGTTTCAGAAACAGTGCAAGAAATAACTATATATAGATATTTAATTGTACAAGTTCCAGTCGTCACTGATATTTCGTGATATACCAGCTTAGGTGAACAGTTACCATCAAGATGGTGGCAATACGCAGTAAAAATCATACATATACCAGCCCACTAATTAAACATAATCATCATCATGAAAAAAGGAAGCATTGTTATGTAATCTCTCCTAAAAGTTAATAAAGTAGGAATAGATTGAGTAAACCACCAGTATGAAGGAACTTTTAAATAAAGACAAAAAGGAACAGTAAAAATATTTTCTGTAAAAAAAGATAATCATCATAGAAACAAATATTGACGAAGAGATAATTTAATTAATCTTTAGAATAGTTAAACAAATAGGCAAATGATCCCATTATTAATTATCTCTTTTAAAAGAACATTAAGAAATAAAAGTGAAGATGATAAAATATGACGAAAGTATGTTTGCATATATTAGAAAAAAATTAACAATAATAATAATAATATTGCGCAAAAATATTCAAACTTCTCTGACACAAATAGAAAACTTGAACGTTCATTTAAATAAATGAAAATATAAAATATTGATAATGACAAAAAACAAAGAATGTGAAAGTAGTTACGTTCATGAATACAATTAATTTATACTCAACTTCTAATATATTACTGATAATTAAAGGTAATATTTAGTATGCAAAATAAAGAAACCATAAATGTGTATACAAATATATGTGCGATGAAGTTTGGAGTTAATAACGAAAGAAATATATTTATAATATGATTAAAGGCCAAAAACACCAATAATAATCAACCACAACGTTAAACATATATGGGAAAACAAAAGGTAATTAAAGGAAAGAACAAAACGAAACCAGCAGAAAACCTATTTCACCTTTAGTACTTAATGTGAGTGTACAAACTGATGAATGAATTTTATTGTAAAAAATATTTTTTGATTAGTCAAATCAAGTGATTATTCACTGTGTGATTTAATCCAAAGGTATGTTTAGTACTTTTGTGAACCTTGCACGTTTTCGGATGAATAAAAGCATGCTATGAATAGAAAAATAAACAAAACATTGATAAATCTTGATTACTATTATTTTATTTATTTTAACACATAGATATTGGTACAAGGAGGCACCAAATAGATATGCGCCACATAAATCATTCGATTTGTGTGAGGGCTGTGATACTGCCCGGGTGCCCAGACCGAAACAGGCGGTTTTCTTAGGGGACCACACCCTGAGCCCTTGACCTTAGGGTCTGACCGACAAGGCAGTGGAGCATCATGAGGAGATGCAGTTCCATGGTAGCCGGTGACCAACGATTGGTTCATACGCCATTTGTTCCTTCAGGATACTGAACCCCATGTGTACCATTGGTTTGGAGTCCGGTTAAAGCGCCGGACATTCGCTTTTCGTCCTCTCAATTTCATAAACAAAACTCCCGCCACGGGAAGGCAGTGAGTAGGACTTCCCTGGCAGAGGCTGTATACGCGTGGCCGTGTGAGAGCATTTCGAGAGGGAGAGAGGGCCCACCCCACTCTCGGCCATACCAGGGCATTTGGGGGAATATATTGAGGTACAAATTTTAAAGAATTATGTTGCATACAGTTGTTAAGAAGGCAATTAAAGAAAAACTTTCTACAAACAAATAGAAACAGATAAACGTTTCTCGAAAGAATTTTTTATTGTAAACATTCGTGAGCTCTATTTACTGCTTACTAGATGTTTACAAATACAGATAAAAATCTAAAAACACGAAAACGACACACTGAAGTAGACCTAAAGATTACAGTGCGAAAAATGAGGAAGGCTGTTGACGAATAAATTCCCGACATGAAAATATCTCTTAGTATGTAGGTTACTTGTTCTACGACCAATTAAGACTAGATTGTTAGATATAGATTTTAGGCATAGTATCAGAATTTAACCTCTTTCCTTCATGCTTCATTTAAAAATGTATAAGTATTATTCAAACGTCAGCAATTATTCTTTTTATACTGTTCTACTAAGAAATAAGTACATATTGATAAGTTCTCTGAAATCGAAAGCTTCATGCGCTAAAAAGGGAGTACACAAACAGATTTTAGAACGCTGCATCACTGGGTAAAAAACTACTATTTTTGCAATTTGGCCTTTGAGTTCTATAAAATTTCCGCATTTCAAAATTCTAATTTAAGTAGATGTACATGCACACAAGTTAATCTATTTGTTACATTACAATCTTATTAATTTATATTACACCAAGTTTGCAGACCATTTTTTCAAAATAACTGTATTAACGACAACACCTTTTAAAGTTACTTTTAAGTAAAACTATAACCGATCCGAGGAAATATATGACTACAGATAATTGATGCATATTCAACAGTTACACTTAAGTTATGACGTCCTATCAAAGTAGTTTCAACACAAGATAAAAGATAACTATGATGTTTAGATTTAGTATAACTTTATGGATGTTAAATTAATTACTATATAACTGGAACTATCAACTGTGTTATTTTTAGATAGTTCTTACGGATGAAGTTTGAGATATTCCAAGATAGTACTACACTTTGTGAATCTGACTGATAACAAAGCTATAGATCTGAACACGACTTGTATCTGTGTACCATGAAACGGGTTTCTCATTTACGATGAATGGAATTTAGTTCAGATCCATAAGTATAATAACACAACGAACCAAATATATCCACTCAATAAATGATCTAAAACTTACGTAATTGCTCCCAACAGGAATGTAGTCGCATGGCTTAATATATTTGGAATATGATCAAGCAACCAACCAATGAAACGCGATTTCATAAAAGCCGAGTTGCGTAGATACCACGAGCCGTTAATTGGAGATGAGCAATTAGGAGGACTGGATACGCTTTCTTTAGAATCATTTGTCTGACATGCCAGTGCAGTGTACCTTGAAAATTCGGAAAATACCAGTGATTGATGATCAATTCACGATTATTAGCATGCAAATTAACAACGAAGGAGTTGGATGTTAAGCGTACTTAATGTGCAGCAGTTAAGGATAAGGATTAGAGTTTAAAAGTGATCATTAAGTAAGATTCGAATTTCTCTTTTCTCAATCCGGAATCAAGTGCTAAGAACAATGAGTTAGTTCAGTAACTGAAAAGAAGAACTTGTGATTATTAATTAGCAAACAAAAGGACATTAAAAACTAAGTTAATGAGAAAGCCAACCTTGAAAAGAGTATCTTATATTTTAATGACACTTTTTCTATCGATATTAAACAACACGTTTCAATAATACACTTTTTGATATAAATTTAATCACTTTAAATAATGTATGCATTAAAGGCGTGACTGAGACGGAAATTCGAGTGTTTTCATCTATTTTTTAAAAATGAATAACAACAATCTAAAGAGTATCACTAGCAAATTTAATCACATGTAAACCTAGGCCTATATATTTATGAGCAACAGGAAGAAACAATGACGCATATTTGTGTGCATTGCTTATGTATGCATATGGATCGATTACTTGTGCATACATTTACAAGAAGTATTATTGACATATCACTCCGAAGAAAAATAATAGTTCGTCGACCACAGAAAAATGTGTTGTAGTTAAGGATTAATTGGGTTCACACATAAGCGTTAATCATTAGTAGTTACTAGTATATAAATAAAAATCACAATTTAATGACCATAGGTCGACATAATAGATTGACCACTTTCATATTTTATTCACGTCTAGAATATGTATTAACTATAGCATCCAGAGCTGATGGAAACATAGTCTCTACTTGATTCCAACACAACGTTAGATCATAAATTTTAATTACATTTAAGGTTGGATGACTAGAATGTGACAATCACAAAGATAAACAGTGAAAAATAATCTAAAATGTCGTAGGTCATATATAACATTAAATGGTATTAAATGCATCAATGGACTGCAAACACAACCGTTTATCAAGATACATTTGACAGCGATGACACAGTGTAGACTAAAAAAATAGTTTTGGTTGACTTAACAAAAACTAATGTCTTTGGGTACGCCAAATTCTACTTACAAAAATACTGATTGGTTAATTATTTTATGAATGACAAATATCATGTATACAGTATGTAAGAAGTTGATTCCTTCCTAGCTTTATAAGGTGGGATAAAACGTTAAAACTACGGAATATATTGACTTACGCTCCAATTTCAGGTCGACTAGCCCATTCTCCAGAGCTTGTAACTGGAAAGTCAGTTGGAAAACTCGCAGTGGGGAATTTGGTCATACTTATATTTTGATACGTAGAGTGAGATTGTTCAGATGTATCACCACTGTGAAGTTCGTCGTGTGATAATGGGCTAGGCAGAGAACCATCGCTTGCCCTGTCTGAATGTTCTTGGGCTTCTGAGAGGAAGAGACTTAGTAACCTTTCTTCAACTATGGTATGGAGACCCCCAGGCTCCTGGGAACCTAGTGTCTGTGAATTAATACTGAGAACATGGATACCTGAATAACTAGAACCATTTTGGTTGTAACCCAAACTTTGTGGAGTGACTTCTATCCAGGAATCTATCCATAACACAGAGATAAATACATATTTAACATTATTTATTATTATTACTGAGTGAACTTTATGAAAAAGACTGAATTTCCTTGACACTTTCAATGTATCAGTAAACAGAATTAATTAGGGTAAAAAATCTATAAAGACAGCATTAATCTTGTTAGACGACTCTCTGTGTTCGATCATCGCTGTATCCGAAGGATTGCTGACATTCAGTGGCAACACCATGTCAGTAATGCAGAGGTTCGGCATCGTGTGTTCGGGCACAGAGATGATAATTCAATTGGTGTCACCATCTTGAAACACCGACTTCGGTGGCTTGGACATGTTCTACGAATGTCGTCTCAGAGAATTCCACGTCGTGCATTATTTGCCGACTCTGGGACTGGTTGGAAGAAGCGGAGAGGTGGTCAGTGCATGACATGGTGTCGTGGTATGAAAGAAAGCTGCAAAGGACTGGCTTCTGTTGGTCCTTCACGACTCCCTGGTTGGGGTCTGAGAGATGGTGTTACACAGTGGCTAGAGACGTTATCAGATATGGCTCAGAATAGAAGCCAGTGGCGATCCTGCTGTAACCTTCTTTTACTTTCTCCATAAAAAGTGGTTGTGTCTCCTTTACCTGAAAGATTTCTTCTGACTGTACCTTTTCGTTCCGTCGTTACTAGCACACTACCTTACTCCAATCTCTTCGTCATTGTTTTCTTTTTCTTTTGCACTCCTTAGTTTTTTTTTTCTACTTCTCTTCGAATTCTCATTGTTTTGTGTGGCGCATATATATTGGCGCTCTCTTGTACCAATATTCATGTGTTCAAATAAATAAATAAATAACATTAATCTTGTTAGTATTTACACATCAATAAGCAGTACCGATTTTTGCCGAAGCAAACTAAAATGTAATCACTGACTGTCTACTTACTAACTATATCTCAGTAAGACTAGAGTACTATGAAAAAGTTTGAATTATTTATTCCGTCAATGCAAGTGAATTTTGTAAGAAAAAAAGTAAAAATGGACATCCAAAGGTAGGATAGGCTTTTATTAACTCGTGTTCCACCATACTTTCCAATCTAATTTAAAATGACGCCTTGAATTGTTTCGTGACCAGGAACGGGAAATAAATTTGATTATTTACTATTGACTTATTGTACTAAAAAATTAATAAGGTAACACACCAGGCACTTGGGTGTAAGCTACAATCTAAGTGTGAGGGCTAATGATACTACCCGGTTTCCCAAACCGAAGTAGGTGGGAAAAAGTTTAAACTTCGGATCTAGTAGCTGAACTCCAAAAGCTTTAACTACTAAGTAACCGCCTAATAAGCATATAGATTATGAAAAAGGATGCTTTAAATTTCATTTCACTTTGTAATAAGATACAGTGGGGTTGAAGAAAGATTATAAACCTTAGTTTCAAATTCATTCGTTTACATGATGCATCAGTTATTTCGACGAGAAACAATAGATGCAGCCACGATATTACAATCTTACATCTGTGAAACAAATATGGATTAGTTCAGGTTACTGCTCTTTATTACACTGGTACAACAAAGTGATGGTAATTCATTTATTCCGGAAGTCTACTTCAATAGTTGAGTGATTATAGCCTCACTGACTTAACGTGACGATGGTTTTCATAAAAAAAGGACCCAGAAGGGTTCCTCAGTTGACAAATTGATTATAAACAACTCATGCACACAACCATCCAGAAACCTAAATAGCTTCATTCCTATTTATTTATAGTACACAGTTCTGGTACAATAGGCCACAAAAAACATGCCACACCATTTAAGTAATGACTTTGTGAAGGGTCATAAAACCGATGAACAAACAAAAATAATACTGATTATCAGATTCAGCTCAGTCAAAAAAGAGCCAGGACTATTTAGTTAACTTTATCGCACTTCTACGAAGAATTTCGTTAAAGTAACCCTTCGGAAACAATGATTCAAAAACCGAGTTGCGGAATATCCTTAATCAATAACCCACAAAAAACTGACTACTACGATGATTTGTATATTGAGTTAGCACCATGAAGGCGCAGAAAATAGAAATTGGCATAAACCACTTTGGCTTTTTTTATAAGTAGATTGGTTTTGTCTGCAACGCATCACCGGCACTCAAACTATCCGACTATAACTCTTCGGTTATTTATGCACATTGCGGCTCACCAAAAACAAAAGGTTCAGACGGGCTCCTAAAAATTTAAGGAAGTAACTTAAAAGCACCAAATACTGGCTGAGTGTATCAAGTTTGGATAGTCTATATATCACCTCACAGTAGGACAAGGTTACCTACTTATTTGAGATAGATAATTCCTTCTCCAGGTAACATCACATGAGTTCGCTAATGCTTCCAGAATGCCATCAAAAACAGCCGGAGTGTGATAAGACTAGGAAACCCTGGTTACGAGGATTAGTAGCCAATAAAAAACTTGAATCACTAGTTGCCAGTGTGACACACCTGATGAGGTCAATTCATTGCCCTATAAACTAAACTTTTAAATTAGTGGTCTAAGTAGTTTGGAGTATCATTTCCAGCGCAAACTATGACAATCCAAGAGATTAATAACTTGATTCAGAAATATCCAATTACGAAGCATAAATACATTATTATGAACGAACATATTTCACACCCTTACAGTCGATTACTACCTTTCTCATTATGATTTTTCTTATTACTCATGGATTTTTTTAGGAAGCTATGTTAAGTGTAAACAGCTTACAGTTGTCAAGTAGCTCCTCAATATGTACGATGAATAAACTACTCAATCAGTCATTAAAGCGAATTCCGAGACAAATATGTTTTGATGCAAGTTGTTTTACTTCACTACACACAAATTTATTTTATTTAAAAATAAACCACACACAAAACTAACAAAGCAAAGGGCGGGGGGATATAATGCTTACCAATGAATTCGAAATCAGATACACAGAACAGAACTGAATGGTCTAAGATGGTCAGTCAGTTGGTTGATCATTACACTCGCCCTTTAATTAAAAGACAGAAATCTCACCTGACCTAAAATGGGTGTGAGTTCGACTAGGCTAGCTGAGCTGCCGGAAACCATTATCCGAATTTGTGGCGAGACTGAAATGTATGGATGAACAAATGAGATTGAAGAGAGCAAATCTTGGGGCGGATTTCACTCATCCATATGGCCAAATAGCATTTCAGCATTAACAACGATGTCGCTTTGTGATGAAAACTCTAGCTCTAACTCCTAACTATGACTTTGAACTCTCAGTCCCAGCCTTGGTTCCTCATACTAGACTATAACTCTCTTTTGACTCTAGTAAAGTGAATCTTGTTAAGATCAACTAAGCATCGATTAAAGGTCGTCTATGAGTTACAGACTCACATAATTCATCAAACAGAAACCTACTAGGTTTAGTGAGTTGCACTGCCGCAAAATGCATTTCCTGTTATAAAGTTTGTGAATTAATGTTCACGAATACAAGTTATTACGCTCATCTAACAGGTTACACCATAAACTGGATGGATATGAAATAACGTAATTCAGACACAACTAACACTGAAAATTTTGTTATTTACTGCCACTAATAACTCTCAGAAATAAACCCTTATCAAACCAAAATTATTGACATAGAAAGAGATCTAGACCATAAGAACCTACCGCCCAGATCATGCGAGTCCGAGGGAACCATTAGGACCCAGATTCCAGACGCCCCGCTGAGAATGGTGGCAATTCAAGGTCTTTTGTATACGTTTCAAAATTCAAAAGTTGCAACCAGAATAAGATAATTGTTTGTTTCCTGACACCTGTATCTTATTATTAAGAGAGCTATCTTGATTTCGAAGGATTGTGGTGTCCTACAGTATGAATAGTTTTGTCAACACAATAAAATGTATTATAATCCCTCTGTTTATTAGGTATTTTCATAATTATTTCTGCATTCAGTAAATATTATTCAAATGTATCAGCGGTCGATACATTTCACTAGTCACTTAAATGATACTTTCGTTGTTCTCTGGCTCACCATGTCATGTCTTGTCTTAATTAAGCATTACACTTTTGTTCTAGCGGCAATAGCTATATTCTTGATAATTTCTGATTGATTCACTGATTATCTCTAGGGAATGAAGATCGTCTATCCCATTTGTTTATGAAGAATACTGCTGTTGGAAACTTTGATCACTCATCTTTTTGTGTGAATTGACGAGTGACATTTTGTAGGATTATTGAGTTTTCGTACCGTCATATTGTAGTTAACTGTTCATATTCAAAGCAAATTAAACTTAGTTATCCACATTTTAGTATCTTTCGACTGTATATACCTGATTCGAGATCATCCAAGTGTTGTAAATTCGTACTTTTCGTTCGTCTCTTTATTTTATCAAGTACCACATGGTTACCGAGCTATTGTGTTTCTGATTTTTCAGGTCGGTTGGTTCTTATCAATTGATACAAAGGTACGAGGGTTCTCGACGCTGTAGTTTTGTCCTCCACAATATATATATTGTTGTTTTGGGTGTTATTACCGAGCTTTCATCTATATAATACTTCGTGTTTAACTATCATTATATTTTGATTGAGACTTCCGTTTGGGTCACCATGACATTGGTAAGCAGTTTGATATTCATAAAATCAAAAGAAAGACTTCAAACAGTACAATAACCAAACATCTCTTTGATACAGGACATCAGGTTGATAGTTTGCAATCCTTCAAGGTGAATTTTTGCTCAAAAGAAGATGGTTAATAATTTTTCCTTGACTTGGTGAACAATACGCTGATGTTATCAACTGAGTTCTATTCATTTTATTCCTATCAACGTTTTCTCACTATGTAATCACTTGTTTCTGGCTGTTTGAACTGTCGTCACGGTAGGGCCAGCGAAATATCACTAAGCCCTAGCTAAATCATCCGCAGTTGGGTCATTGATTATCGAACAAATCATCGATCATCGTCGAGGTAACGGTCAACCAACGCGCATCACATAATCGTACGCCACGGACTGGCCCATGCGGCAGTGGTCGTACTTTCGCTTGTATCTAATTTAATTAATATATTTCTGTAATAACATCCTCTGTGTTGTACAGTCTTCAAAGCACCTATGGTGCCTTGATACGTCAATGGGGTAGTCCACATAAGGTGCTGACTACGAGGTATGACTTCGACGTTAGCCAGTTTGTCACAACATTCACGTCTAACCCGAGTATGCCTCTAATCATTTCGACACAGATCATCTACGTTGGTTATCTACATCACAATCAATGTTGTAGTATGCACTTTTGCAGAAAGTACATTTACAATATTCAGTCTATTACATTTATTTATACCCTTGCTATGCTTCAATAATATGTCTTCAATATAACTTATGGTCAAACCCTTCCATGTAAGTAATTTAAACCCATTAAGTAATCATGATCTTTTTAACGTCACAGAATGTAGGTAGCTGGCGAAAACAAAAGAAATAACAAAGATTCATGTTATTCTTCTAGAACCTTTGTTCTTGCTTTTTAAATCAAGTCACCAGAATTATCTACCCGAACACATATCGATGCTTGTTGTTGATGAATTCAAGGACATGGTGGACGTTCACTATACTTCCATTGGTTTCCCTTACTACCGAGAAATATTATTCCAGGCTATAACAGACAATTATAACAAAAAGTAATCCATTCATAACTTTATAAAACTAATGATAATAAGTAACGAGTAGCTATGGTTTACGTGCCATTCGTGAATGCAAACACCATGTTTTCCTCATTATATTTTAGTGAATAAATTATAGTAAAATCCTCAGTTCTTATAAGTTCCTTTCATTCATACGCCCATTAATATATTCTCTACTTCTTTTACTTAACCTGTTTAAATACACTTGCATAACCATCCACTCAGTAGAAAGAAAATGCATCTGAACAATCATACCTTAGTTTTTCCGTCATAAATGACTCGAATCCACCAGTCATAAACACCCCCTATTCTGTGCTTCGCTGTTTTCCTGTCCCCCCTTTTCCACATCATTGGGCTGCTATTAAATGCAACTCAATTTCGTAAACGTGACAGTCAGCTTAGCGACCAATCAGAATGAAGCGGGAATTATTATATCCGCCATCTTGGTATACAATGGCGGCCGGCTTTCTTCGTTTTGTGCATTTTTCGCTATTTGTTTTGTATAGCTACAGAATTTAATGTTTCAGTGTGTTCAAATGCAGAAGTTAATGTAATACTCTAAATGTTGGAGCAAAAATTTTCCTGATTTTGCTTTGTTTTCTGGGTTTTGGCTGCCGCTACCGAAGTCAATGTGTTTCTTCAGCCAAGCTGGCTAGTCTTATGTTTTAAAATGGTAATCAGTTCTGTTTTGACTTGTTTTCTAGATATCCAAAGCCGAAGCTCGCTTTTTAGCTAAAATAATTGTTGCTGCCACCTGTGACTAACTGTCCGCATGTTCGTTCCTAGCTGTCCTTTATGGTGTTATCGGCAAAATGAAAGGAAACAATCTCCGGTTTTCAATGTTCTTCAGTACTATGGACACCACTATCCCACTAACGAGTCAAACTTATACTGAGTGCCCAGAACTAGGGGATATCAGTATTGTTTTCGAAAGGAACCAGACTTCCGATAACCATAGATGAAGTCACAGATGCTACCAATCTGTTGCAGAGGGTTTGTTATAAAAAAATATGCCATATGGCAGTAATAGAGGGGTTGTACTCATTACGTAGTGCGTTAACTCAAGCTTAACATTGAAAATCCGGAAATCTGCTATCAGTTTTCAGTCTTCAGTAATAAGGATAGTAGGTTGATGAACCTGTGTTAATCTTGACACATTGCTTTCCAGTGAAGGTCCAGCTTTTCCTTGAAAGTATTCACTGATGGGGCTGATACCACTTGTTCGGGTAAGGCGTTCCAATCATTGACTACTCGATGAGTAAAACGGGACCCCACTTTAAGTTTATTAGATCGTGGTTTATGAACCTTCTTGCTATGACCTCGAAGATTATTAGTACTGGAGGGAGCAAAAAGATAAGACATATTAACACCCAAATCATAATTAAAGATACGAAATGCCAGTATAAGGTGTGTAGTGTACGTTTGCTGTTTCGGCCATAAAAGGAAGCCGAAGGATCATGATCAGGGAGTAAAAAGGTAATTAACTGTTATTAAGCTCACTTTTTTATAGATCATATTTCACCACTCGCAAATTTATGTTTTTTTACGGTATGATGTCAACCGGTACCTAGTATGTTCACCCTTACGAAGAAAAGTACCTGCAAATTCTCACCTTCACATTCAGATTATTTTCGGAAAATTGTCTTCCAGTTTGACTGCTTCGTACGCCCTGGGAGACTAGATTCGTACATTATTTGTAGTTCCAGTATAACTTTCTCACGCAGTAAGTTCAAAGTAGACACTAGTCTTTCTAAGTAAGCCTTTTAAGCTAATATCCGTATTCTCTATTTCAGTTAATCAATGAAGACATGTACCATGTGCATCTGTTGTATACTGCCATTTTACTCCAATCCTAACTGTTATATCTTACTTCTGAAAAATAAATTTGCTATATGCAGCGAACACAGACTTATTTGTTTTGATGGAGATAGGGGGGTTCATGGGATTTTTAGCAGGACTGTAGTAATATTCTCACTAAGGAGCCGAGCGAGTGCGTAGAACAATGTAAGGTACCATACAGGGTACCTTTGAGTTACTAGTGTTCCATTAGTGCGGGTAGGGGCATTGCTTGCTTATCATATGACATATGAATAAGGAGCTATGAGATCAGACGCAGGTACGGTTAGGATGTGTAATGCGTGTCCATCCATCAGCTGCCGTGACATCTAATGGTGGTTAGAATAAGTTACTAGAGGACCCGAGTCTGTAGGTTTACCAAGAAAATAACGAAGATATGTACTAAATCATTTAAATTTGCTACATATGAACCAAGTGCTGAGAGACTCGTGTATCACAACTTTCTTGCAACGATTAGGTAGATAAAACAAAGTAAAAATTTATTGAGGAACTTTCATTAAGAATCGAATATCAAACAAAGGTTCAAACGAAGTCCCCGTTTAAAAGTTACATTGGTAATGTTAAGCTGCAGTGTTGTTTTTTTCCAAACGAAAGGGTAAAAGAAGTAACTCAAAAAGTACTGGAAATGGTTGTGAGACCGAAGTGGACATCCATCATCCTTTTTATAATCTGCTGTTAGTTGGGTCTCCCGTAAACAGTTTCATAGGGCCATAGTTCTAAGGGTGAAACAGTTCTTAGGATCTGTGAAGGCTCACTCCTGTTGCATTCTAAATGAGAAAATAGTAATGAATTTAGTCAGAAATGTGGAATAGATAAATAACCAAATCACATGATTTTTTAGCAAAGAATTTATGCAGTTGTGATTTACTTTGAGTTCATGAATATTAGATAAGGTCAGCTACTATCACTTGTGCAAAGCATAACATGGGCTTAGTACCGTACCGCAATGCTTTTATTATTTTGCTCCCATTTAAGTATTCCCATGCATTTGCGTCTAGTTTAACAGGAAGGCATACAAGCAGAGTTAGTGTCTGATAAAATAAAAGTCTCAGTTGTCAAAAAGATTCTTAACATTTGTCCACAGTCAGCTGCATTTAATTGAGACACAGAACACTCATCTTCTAAGACTGTATACTGCTGTTTTGCGGGCAACTAAAAGCTCAGACGCTTAGCAATCCTGCTACCGATGTTATTGCTGGGGAAATTGTTTAATGACAGTGATTTTGAAATATGGTCAGTGATAGATGTACAGTCTAGAAATAAACACCAAACATACTTAAAGCTATCTTGTAATATATGACAGCAACAGTACAAAAGGCTTTTTTCCCTATTTTTAATCAGACGGATTTGAATCAGTATACTCATTAGAAACAGGCCGCTCTACTTACTAAACTGATCAGTTTCGTTACAGGCTTCAAGCACTATACTTAAGTATACCATAATTTTTTCCAACTAAACTGAATTATGCGACAACCAAGAATACTAAACTAAGCAAGTGTCATAATTATTGTTTCATTTGCACAGACATGTTGCTCAAAGTAGTTAAATGGACATAATTCAGCCGATAAAACCAAAACATGAAATATAGGCCAGCCGAACTTACCTAACAGAAGACAAAGGATATATATATTGCTTTCAGGCTGAAGATATCAGTCATTAAAACATAGTTTAATGTACAACAAAACTTTCTTCAGCAACATTATGCACTCATGGTCTATCTGGAAACAATCAAATGTGATTAAACTCACTATGACTTGGGATATCACCCCAGCGTGCAATGAATGTACAGTGTAACGCAGTCAGACTAGGCAAATAAAAATTACAACCGGAGCAAAATTAACAACATAATCTAGTTATTTAATAAAAAATACATTATGAAACGACAAATTCTACGATTACTTGAACGCACACATGACCGTTATTACACTGGGCGATACATTAAACTTACATGGTTGCGTTGCGATAAATATCACCCCATCATTGTGATATACTATCAAAAACACAAATGGAAAATTTGACTTCATCATATAGCTTAATTGATACTGTTGATATTACGGAAGGCTTCACAATTGCTTGTCGAGTTTTTCATCCAGAGAATACTACCAAGAAGTGTCAAATAATATATTAAAGTTTATGTTTTTAATTGAATGATTATGATTTACTTCTCACTCTAAACAACCATGGGCCTTACATTGATTCTGTACTACCAGTTGTTTGTCGTAACTCCAATTCCATGAAGCGCTTCAGCCTTCGTATTTAATTTCCATGTTTTGCTAAGATTATTGATATTCTTATGTACACAAATGTATTCCTGTTTCTATGACTAGCGTGTCTCGTGGCGTATCGACCTTACTGAATAAATTATTAAAGTAAATCTTGAAGGGTTTTTAACACTTTGACCTTGGCTGTAGGTTGGTATGCAACGTGTATTAGGTTATTATTCTAGAACAAATTATTACTATCTTGCTCCCTTCCAAAGGACATCTGGTATTATTAATATTTTGTTGAAACTTATGGGATTATGTACATGACAAAGTATGACCATACACCTGCTTATCATCAGGATATCCAAATGTTTTAAAGGTGTCTAATAGAACAGTTTCGGATAATACCCAGGGTTTTTTTCAACGGTTGGAGGTATGATACTCCAGTTTCTTAGAGAATGAAGGGACAATGTACTACCAGCATCTTGCACTTACCGGTATCAAGAGGAAGCAAGTTGACGGTTGATATTTGTGTACTTTATCACACATAATGAGTTGGACCATAAGACTTAACACCAATATGTGGTCTCTCCGATTAGCTAAAGGATGAATATAGCCGTTCTCTGATATGTCTTGTATACTTTGAAGACAGTTTAATAAGTTAGTAGGTAATATTTTTTCGTGGCGTCTATACGTTTAAAAAATTTATTTATTCCTAACCACACGATTTATGAAGCCGAAGATATGATAGCAGGGATGACTCACATTAAACATTTAACAAGGAGAGGTGAGGGTCGATGAACACGGGAACAACTAATCGAAATGGCATTGCTCGGCCATGCTTTTTGTCGTAACTATATTTCTGTCCTCTCAAACTAAATGTGTTCTTCAGAAGTGCTAGACGTCATGTCGCTCATTGTCACGACATGAAGAATCAATGTAGATAGTGATGATGAATTCTTGGTCAAGCCCTCGCTTGCACTGACCTAGCACGAACGAACACACCTGCATCCTACTCAGACATTATAGGCTCTCAACATGTACAGACCAAATTAGACTCTATGTTCAGTTTACATTATTTCCCTATTTCGCGGTTGTATTAGATACTTTTTACTCCATAATTTGTCGCTCAAAGTAGACAGGTAACTCACTGGACCTATCGATGCTGCTCAACTAAAATCGGTCGCTAAGAGACACTCACTACTACCCTTAAAATTCAAAAGAACCACACAGTCGACTGCCTACTACCAGTGATCTTGCACCTATGGAACCTTTTACTCATCAACCGGTTAGGATAGAACAAAATAACATCAACACCAAGTTAATGTGAGTTCCTTCTTGTTTATTGTTTATTAGCTTTTAACTCTTCAGTACACCATTTTGACATGTCATTAATATTTTTTCTCCACTCGTTACTTTATCCATAACCCATATATTTCTATATCTCGCCTACTTTGATATACAACTATCCTACAATATACCCTTCTTAGTGCCTATACTCGATCGGCAACCTATAATTTATACTATAGTCAAATAAAGCATTGGATTGATGCCTTACACACAGTCAATAATTTGTAACTGCCTGATAAGCTTGTAAAATGGTGCTTATGGAAATAGTGTTTTCCAACAGGATGTGAAGCACAGAGCATTATGTGAGGTATGATATATATCCAAAATAAGCTTAAATGAACCTAATATTACAAAAGGAGGGGGGTGGATTTACTGACCAGCAAACATTGATGGTGATGGCGATGACTTCAATCCACCCATGTCTGTGGGGCAGAACTTTTTGTTTGTATCGTGCTCTTTATGGTTGAGAACAAGTAAAACATTCTATGATGTTGTGGTTGTTCTCCTACACTCACCATTCAGACTCATGTCTCTAATTTTATGCTATTCTACTAAGACAATCTACAACATACTGCCTCGAACTTTTACACTAGGACTATGTGGTTCTCATTGGATCAAAAAGGAAAAAAACAAACTAAAATAATCAGACAATAGATATTTATTAGATTCTTAACACTTTACTCTCTATATGCACTTTTCATTCCAATAAACAGCCTTCTTAATTCCAACCTTGACTTCCTTCACTTTATTTGAACTTACTCCATCTTGATAAATATCACAACTGATTGTTCTTTATTAATTATTATCTCTTCTAAAGCCTCTGATGACATTTTACTCTAGCAACAAAAGTTTGTATGAATTTGGTCTAATAATTTATCATACCTCTATCTGTTGCATCATAAAATGTTAAGCATTGCTTCGCGTTTATACCCAAGCGCCTTGCTGCTCCTCTGATTTTCTTCTTTGTCAGAATCTCGCTACGAGGTTTTAATTACCCCGAACATTATACTGAAAAGATATTTTAAATGAAGGCAGTAGAGTCATGTCTGTGCACCAACAGTCTAACACGGTATAAAATCCTCTTATGACGATCAAGTTCACGACCGAAAATTTACCGAGACTCCATTTGTCGTTAATTTTCAGAATTCCGCGTCCGTGACACTACGCCTGAAGCTCTAGTGTGCCCAACCCCTACTCTCAGAACTATAGTTATTATTATAGGAGTTGACAGTGGTTGCTGAACCCTCATAATCTACATTAAGAACTAATATTAACTGGACGATCCTTACAAACAGGTGGGTACTTAGCATTTGCTTTGAAAATCCTCGGAAGTTCATATTTACGGCATCATCAGTTGGACAGTGCATCTACAGGTCTCTCTGTCAGCCCATAGCTCAATAACCTCTGAGCTGACCATAAGCACATGCGAAATTACTGAAGCTTGCAAAACCTGATCCAGATGTCTCAGTAATATTATTAAACACAAGGATTAACAAATGTCACATGGCCTATCTCTATAACTAAAGACTAGCATGATTGCCTCAACATCTGACAGGAATAACCGTCTTTTGTCAATTAACAAAGTTCATCTACTTTTTATCCATCTACCTCATGATCAATTAAGGATGTACTGGATTTTGTATTTGTGCTAGTAAAGGTTTTGTTTTCAAGGTTGACATGAACGCGGTAAACCGATTGTAATATGCCGGTAAGATATTTTCCCAACTTTTTTTCATTGGTTAGAGGCAGCGTTCATACACTTCAACCGAACAGGACAAGACAAAGTCAGTCAATAAAGAATTTTTTAGTAAGCAATACAAATCCTTGAAGACGTATATCCGAAGTAGTTCCTATTGAAAGCGCGATATTATGTTACAGGTACTGGCTCTCATCCTGTTCTCAACTCAGGAATATGCTCATCACAAAGTCCGGGGATACCTGGATCTCCTGCTTCATTAGCCGCAAAGAGAGGGGTCTTTTATCAAGATGACAATGGAAAAATTATCAGCTTAACTAAATCAAGGAAATCTAATCATTCCGTTAGTTTTCGATTGAGAAGTTATAAAAAGTATTTCAGGACGGCAGTAAGCTGATTTCTGATTCGAAAAGTAGATTGGTACTGGACTTGTCCTCTTTGGGGCTTGACAGCGTTTCTCCGGACATTGGGAGTCTCAGCCATTTAATAGAGCTTTTTTTGTATGATAATAAGTTAACATGTCTTCCCTTGCAGATCGGACTTCTGAAGAATCTCCAGAGAGTATGCCGTAATTTAGTTTACTTTCTTTCACAGTTATGGCTCCAAGAAAACTCCCTCACATTTCTACCAGATGAGCTTGGTTATTGTTCAAAACTAACTCATCTTGATATCAGGCACAACAGGCTTGAAGGTTGCATTCCTGTTGTTATAACAAAATTCACTTTAATGAAACAACTCTACCTGACTTACAATAAATTAACAGATATATCTGCTATTGGTAATTTATGTGTAGGTCTAGTCTTGTTATTTTCACTTATCCTGTATGATATTTTTCTTGGATTTTCATTTTGTCTTACACATAAACTTTCTAAACCTAGCGTTTGTTTCAAATAATAACGTAATACATTTTGACAGACAGCTGAGTTTCGTTTTCAGTCTAGGAAGTACAGAAGGCTGTGGGACTTGTGGTAATTACGGAGAAGTAAGTTCTCTTATTTAAAACAATTATCCATTCAGTGTTCATGAAGATGGAGTTAGAAACATGTGTTGAGTTCTGTAGGTAACTAATGGGTTATTTTTCATGGCCTTTTGAACGATTTTGGAGTGCCCCTATTAATCTTCCGTTTTAGGAGGTAAAAAATGAGGGAATGTCTAATGCGAAAATGACGTTTAATAGGCTGAGATGTCCTCTGATTGTTGTGTCTCATAAAAGAATTAGGTTTAGTTCAGCGGATCTGTCATCATATACTGGCCCTGAGATCCATGCATTCAACTTGTTTGAGATTTTTATACCTTTTCCAATTTCTTACTATCCTTTTCTGGCAAGTTAACTGCCTGTTTGCAACACATGAGTTCCAGTTGAACTCACAGCGTGTATGATTTAAAGAATTGCTGAAATCTCCACTTATTAACTATAGAATTGTGATACATTTGAGGGTAACTAAACATGTACAACGGTTCTAAAATTTTGATGGATACTAACCTCTGAATGACTATGTGTACAGAAAACAAGTGACTTAACATTTTTCGCTATTTGATTATGTGTTAATGACCAATATGCAACATAATCCACCTAGATCCATTCAATATCAGTTGCTGGGTGCCTTAAAAATATTCCGACTTCTGCAGACCTTTTAAAACCTCCGCATTACTCCCTTTGTTTCATGTCTTTCATCGTATCTTGATACATTTATTAAGAGTCTTCAGTCACAAAACTGACGATGACGAAAAACCAGGAAGGTCATTGACATACGAGGGAATTGATGCTAGTTCTAATACTGCATCCTGAATTACTTCATTGGGCACCGTTTTTAAGCTAGACAGTTAATGCTCTTTATTTGGGTCCAACTGAAAAGCTATTTATCCACAGAAATAATCTTCTACTTTGATACTGTCCTACTGTGGTAACAGTCGGGTATGTGGAACTTTGTCAGGGACCTGATGTCAATGGAGAGTAAATTAACATGTAGTCAATAAACTTCAAGAGCGACAATAGGTTGATACTTTAAGATCTTTCTGTAGAAAAACCCTACTGTAGACATTCTGCGAGATGTTTTTACTTTTACGTTGCAAATATATCTTCATAGCATAATGGTCTTTCTTAAATGAGTTTGGCACTATAATGAATTTAGTTTCTGTTACTGCACTAGATGTACTTCAGAGTTTCGAAACAATAAAAATGTGCTTAAAATCACCAGGTTAGCGGAAGATTGGTTAAATTATTTTATGGTACAGTGCTATTATTCAATAATTACAAAAGATGGCAAACATAAGTGACAGCTAGAATAAAAGTTAGTATTATGTATCTTGGACATAGCTTCTCTATGTGATGGCTATTAATGCTCTCTTCCTGTTAGTATCTAACGAAAAAAATTTAAAATCATGTTACGGCTATTACTGGTTTGTTATGTGCATATTTGAGTCATATTATACTTTGATCAAGTCACATGTAGTACAATCTTGAAAAGTAGTTGAAAAAGGCACTGTTATATCTCATGCATTCCTCTGCTTTGTTTCAATCACCAATGTACCGCTCTGAATTATGACATCTGTGATTAAATACTGCTTACTCAAATTCTATCAATAGATTTTTGTTCTTGACATTATTGACGATTAGAGTTAAAACACCTTGGTAAATCATTGATTCTTATTAAAGTCCATTTTCGCTCACAAGTATAACTGAATTATGAGTTTTTAATTTATGAGCATGTTTTTGCATGCTAAAACTATAGTTTCTACCTTTTTTAAAGGATGTAGTTACTTTCAGAGAATGTTTAGGTGCCGTTGCAACTCTTCAGATAGTTAAAATAGTCCGTTGTGTCATTGAATAAAAATAAAGAGAATTCAGAGAGGAAAATCTTCTTTTCGACGAAATAATTTACCTAAGCTATACATTCGTATGTTTAAGGTCTTTCATATTATCACTATGTTTTGATTTTCGGATAAGTATTTTGTAATTTTAAACCATAATAACTTATTATTGTCCTTAAACAATTTTTCATGGTTATTATCCAGTTTTTATTATTATGACCTTTATGTCTTTCATTTTTACTCATACTTGTCATGTAGACTAAAGTTCCACAAATATTTCATCAAACGGCACTCGAATCTTTGATGTTTTTGGCTGTAGTAATTGTCCACATTATAAAATTAATCATAAACTGTATCATTTTACCCGCAAAATATATTTTATTATTAAGCTTTTACAGACATTAGTAGTGAAAAGTAATCAATTGCAAGGACCGATTCCAGATTGTATTGGAAATCTTACGCAGTTGAAAACTCTGGATCTGTCGAAGAATCGTCTGACCAAAATTACTGAAAGTAGTTATTTTGTCTTTTTGCATGTAGTCAACTCATTATTCAATGTGTTCACATGTTGTAAGAAATATCTGTTGTAAATAAGAAATTTGTAGACGACTTAGAAATGTCACTTAATTCAACATGATGATAGTAAAACGTATATAGGAAGCGCCTAACTAACAAGCGATAATCAAACTACTTTGCATCTACTTAAATTCACATATTTATCAGTTTACATACATTGAATCGGCCGATAGATGAAGCACCCCACACTTATATAAAGAAAATTAAGCTCTACAATTTGTACCACTTATCAAGAATTTCAAATTCGGTTGATGATCGTAGGTGAATTTCTGCGATGGCGTACACCATAAAATGCTCTTTACAATATGTAATGCTACCATTCGTTCCAATTATGACTAGTCATATTCTTCTACCCATTTACTACTACTAGCACTGCTAATATAGATACTAAAAAACATATGAATGATAGTTAAAATGCTTTTTAACCCCTAATAGATAACCGTTTATAGTACCTGGTTTGTATGGTGAAACGTTTGGAACTACGAAGGTAAACTCTTTGCTCTGTAATCTTTAAGTAGAAAGGACGTTACGGTTACACATAATTTTTTGATTTAAAATCTATTTAGAATAGTACAAGGAGTAAATGTTTAGTAGACTATTGGTCCATGTAATTTTCTATGGTCCCATTTTCTTTAATCAACGTTGATGTTCTATAATGAACGTACTCACTAATTTTAATGATAAAAACTGCTTTAAAGTTTGGCATTGGATGCCGGTTCAGTGACATACAGGTTTAGCATTTGCACGCGAGATCAAAGATCCTGGGTTATAGTCCCGGTTGCAGGGTTGTGTATGCTCATCACTGATGAGTTTCATGCTAGGACGAGGTGGTCATCCTGTGCTTCCAGACGTTTATTAGTAATCTAGCTAAGATCAGTTCATGAGTTGAGCTATGGAAATCCTACAATCGTCATAAATACCCCTATAATAAAACTTTTTCCTCACATGAAAGTGCAGTTCCCTAGTAATCGTTAATACATATCTATTCGTCTGTTTAATGAAAAAAGATGTTTTTTTTAAAGTTTTTCTAGTCTATCTGGATTAGTTGCTTCATTTTTATAAAAATTCAATTTTTTTGGTGGTAAAACTATTGAAATTCAACAGCATTTTACCAATTTAGATTTTCTGAATGTATAATGAGATGGTAAATTCAGAAAGTTCAGTAAATAAATAATACTTGAACAAACATTAATTGATTTGTACGTAACTTTATATCGATTTTTTTTCTATCACTTGATAATAACATTTCAAAGTTATATGCAGGTAGATATTTTATATTTTAGTCATGTATTTGAACTCTCCCTTCAGTTTACTGATGGATGAATGGATGGATTCATACATTAAATGTAGTGGCTGTACAACAATCACAGAATATGAAATTCGTTTTTTTACCAAATTTGAGACAATCGAATAGTAAACGTTATATATATATATATATATATATATATATATATATATATATATATATATATATATATATATATATATATATATATATATATATCATGTCTTAACCATCACCTAACTTGATGAGGGATGTTAATCGGTGTAGGAGTAAACTGGAAAAAAATTTAGAGGTGATCAGACTCAAATCTGGCATCTTCATCTGGGTTTTGAATTCCAGTGTTTCTTCATATATACCTCTTCAATAACTCTCTGAAACATATTTTAAATCTTCATTCTTTCTCGTTATCAACCCTGTCATGTTATTTTGTTACTTTTCCTACTACTCTCAACTTTATCTCGTTAAGCTAATGTAGCATGGAAACTTGAGCCATCCCATATATTTGCCAAGCTCAAAGTTGATCATAACTGACTAGCAATCAAAAAAGAAACTCTGTACCTTAAACTTTATTTTCAAGGTGGCACAGTGGGTAAAATTCCCATCCACCTAACCAATAAATCCAGCAAAATGACTTTCAATACCACCATTTTGCGCGTTACATTTTCAGCAAAGGCAATGCTGTTTCAGTAAACCAAGGAAAAATATCGATGATGGTCTCGTCTTGGTGTTCTTATCAATTTAACTTGCCCTATGGCTCTAGTTACGTAGACTGTACTCAAAGGGCTTTATACTTGCGTGTGACCTTAATGGTCTGTTATTTTAGTGAATTTTGGTAAGTGGTTCGGAAGTTTGGCTTCTTATGTACACTTTTGCTTAAAAGTTTTCATTTACATCCGAATAGCTAAGATGTGGAATGAATTTATTGTTAGATTTTCCCATTTTCTTTCATGTTAAGTAATCTGTCAGGCTGAACTAAATTACAAGGTGATGGAATATATATATTTATGAAGTAAGAGAACATTCAACATGACATAACATTTAGAGCATTAAAACACAGTATAGCTAGAACTACTGATTTGTAAATTAATTCGCTAGTTCAAAAGATATTTAGTTTCACAGAGGATTTTGTTTTTCATGATCCTTTAAAATAAATATCTATTATTAATACAGTTAAATGATTATAACTATCATAATTTTTATCGTCTAAATGTCTAAATGTCAAAAGTTTCGACAATTTTATTAGTGTTTTTTCTGATTTTCACTAAGGTCACAGATAATTACTGTCAAATAATTATCCAATTGATTAACTGAACCATTTAAATTCTTCATCAGCAGTTATTGATCACATTAAGTTGAACAAGGTCGATATATTGTGTGGACTAATACATTTCCGGAAAACTGAATTTATTTTCCACCTCTTTAAACATTATTCATACATTTTAGTTTTGTTTAGACACACTGACTTCTATGCTAATTGACCACTGGATAGAAAACTGTAGCCACTTTCCAATCGTGAGTGTAAGTAAGTATTAAATCATAGCATTTGATATTGTACTGCCTATCCTATATAATGTTTTGTGAATGCAAGCGACGTGCATAACTCTATGTAGTGTTGGTCAAGGTCAGAAAGAATAACAAGTAAAGCATGTGTAACTAAGCATTAAGTGCAAACAGCTTTCCATCCATTACATCTAGTAATTTAAAGCATTAGAAATATAGTATAATTAAACTCAGAGATCCAAGTGTCATAGAATGATAGGTAAGCTGAGTAACAACTTTAAATGTAATTCCTTATTTTATTTATAAAATTTACCTTTACACTTCCGAGTTGAAAAAATATCGTTTTGCATAACATGTAGAGTAATAAACAGTAATCGTAGTGATAATATTGCATTTTGTATTAGTGAAATCTTGGTCTTTTGCATAAAGGAAACATTAATTCGAAGATAGTTCTAGTTACAGATTGACACCCAATGGGTAATAATTACTAAGCGGAAAACAATCAATGCTTGTCCCGTTCCTATATAGGACTCCTCAACGGTGGTAATACACGATCTCACATAGAGTTAAACGCACGACCATTAGATCTTGTACAGGACATAACACCTTTAGCCCACATTTTCAAGTCATTTTACAATATACCTTTAATCAAGTATTATCACTTGGTATTTGTCACACTGCTGAGTTTATTGAAGTTAAGCAGTTCACCGCTCTTTGGTTTAATGTGGTTCGCTAGTTGATGTCAGTCTCTGACATAAACTGTCTTAAGATTGGCACAGCCAACCTAAATCACGCAAATGAACAATTATATTAGTTTGGATCTTATGAGTGAAATTTTCTGTAAAACTGATCAGTCATCTAGCAAGTAGTAAGTTATCTAGGTAAACAAACGGTTTTTAAATATGGTTTGGATTTTATTAATGTATGAAACAACAGATAACTTTAAATGTTATTTTGTTATTATGCAATTTAAATTGTATATATTCAATCACAGTTTTTATTAAGTGTACATTTTATTCTTATCCATGGACAGATGATAAATAATATATAGACTCTAAAAAAAGTGGAATACCTACGACTGAAGGAAAATTAAGAGGTTGGGACTTGAATGAGTGTGAAATCAATAGCAGATTTAGTAATAGGGTTGAATTAACTATCATACTAATTGAACTCAAGACAGAGTCCTAACGTCTATTGTCCCCAGTTATATATATATATATATATATATATATATATATTGTGGCGAAACAAACTATATATAAAGTTAATGAACTGACATACATACAGTTACGTAAGTGGTTAGATGATTTATTAATTTACATATTTCATTTCATTGTTAACAAAATAATAATAATAAATTTATAGTATATAACTGACATAATTTTTTATTTTATTATAGACAAACAAATATCATAAGAATATTATTTTAAATTATCATTTCACCATTAAATAGATTTTATCAATCTATGATATTTTTCAATAGTATATCGATGTTTCAATGATTTTAAGCAATAAATTACTATAATCTTAGTATAATACTTTTCATTCCCCTAAATAAAGGATCACTTTTAATTAATGTCATAACTTATTCATCAAGAAAAGACTCTCCTCATTCAGTATAACAAATTTTTCTTTCTATAGATAGAAATATGTTAATTATTTTAAACGTTGACCTGAAATGTTTTCCTAACAGTTAAAAAAAATACTCCATATCGAAAAATTCTTTATCGTTGTCTTACGACTGAAAGTGATAGTTCAAAAATACCAATAACTGCAACTGATTATTTAAATAGTTTAATGAATTCTCTTGTTTAATTATTCACTTTTTTTTGTTTTAATAAATCGAACACTGATGTTTACTTAATTATGCTTATGTTGTTTCGTTGTAATTACATGTAAACTCAATAAACTTACAAGTCATCAGAAATATTTTCACTGTTTATTGATTTATATAGAAAAAGAAACCCATATGGATATGTTATTTTCCATGAAATAATTTTATATGTATATCAATATAATGTAAACGATTTGTTACTACATACGTATGTCAGATTGAATAGGAGAAATTATCGACAAGTCAAAAATTTCCTCTCTATAATTTTTTTTCTATTTTTCTCCGAATGGGTTTTGTGGAGAGTTTTAGAAATTTCAC